ATCAGTCTGTTTGAAATAACAATAGTAGAATTTTCAAATATTTTCTTCTATTCAAGCTTTCATGTAATGTAACACAGTACCCCATAAGATTGCACAGTTTACTCATACATTTATACACTTCTTACTTGTACATGATACATTTGCTATTATAAGTACAGTCTGTTCTTTTTTCCAAGTGCCTGTCAATTAAGTTCATTTCAAGTACTAGGTTTCTCAGATGTTGACATCAAAGTTATTTTTCCATTGGATATGTTGTAGTTCAATTTTATCCTTGGTTCAAATTTTATTTTCCTTTGTTCTTGGTCATGTTAATGTACGATACTGAGTTTGAAACAAAGGAAAAATAAAATTTGAACCAAGGATAAAATTGAACTACAACAGATACACCAGTGATAGTAAATTCATTTTATAATATTTATAGGGTTTGCACAGATCATGGAAAACCTGGAAAGTCATGGAATTTCAGAATTTCATTTTCCAGGCCTGGAAAGTCATGAAATTTAGGTGTGGGTCATGGAAAGTCATGGAAAATCAATATGCTCTCTATGAGTAAAAGGCAATAAGACCCATAGTTGAAAAGTTAACTGACGAGTCCAAAAATCAGATTTAATTTTATTAGAAATAAACAGAAGCATGCACTGTGAGAATGTTTGCAAACATTCTTTCACAATGCATTCTTGCATGAAATTTATGCAAATTTTCAGGCATTTCAAGTGAACCAATCGGTCAGTGTGAAACATACGTGTGAGCAGTCAGGTAAAGCAACAGAGCTCGTGTACCTTAGGTCATGGAATCTTTCAAAAGGTCATGGAAAAAGTCATGGAATTTTAACAGGTCAAAAGTGTATGAACCCTGGATTAGTTTCTTAAGTCACATTTTCTCTTTTTTTGTTTTCTGTTGAATCACACATACTTTTGTGCTCACACTCTCCCATACAAACTCACATGCTCACTTTATTATTAAATTAAAACTGTATATTCAGTATTATAGCATTTATATCTATGGCATCTACCCACAAGGCCTAAAATTCTCACCAGCAGTGATTAGATGTAGAGGAAGAAAGCTAACACAGTACTAATAAATGTCAGTTATAATCATTGTAATATTGCTGTACATTGTGACATAATCATGTGAAAAAGTATCATCCAAAGGTAGTTTTACTTACCCCTGCACCAGTTTTGATTGCCTTTTCCATGGTACTTTTAGGCATGCTTATTAATCGAGCTTTTTCAACAAGTTTCTCCAAGCGAGGGTTCATTCGCACATCTTGTCCATACTCTGTCCTCAATAAAAACAGCATTAAAGTTTACTTAAGAACCTCCAGACAACAGGAACATTGTTACATTTAAAAAAAAAATCAGTGTCCTTGAGAGCATTCCAACACCATGCAATGATCAAACTCATTAATTTAATTAATTTTGCGCAGCACAACTTTATCGTATCGTTAACAGGATTCTCATGGCAAGCCTCCAACAAGTTTTTCATTACAGTACTAACTGAATAAGGAGTTATATCATGATATATCATCGTTTTGCCGATAACGTTGCATATTCTCATCGCCTATTAGCTTAATTATGTATTGAAATGTGAGGAGAACTTACGCGTTAATCAATATATGTAATTCTAATTCATTTAAAGTGGTTATTAGGGGTAGTAGGTCAGCTCTAAATCTCTGGGATCCACAGACCGCTGGCAATATATGTATGTAACAGCCCTC